CAGGCTGTCTAGTGATTCTCAAACTGTATTTTAGAAGCCGTTTCATGGGGTGCATCAACCTATGGAAGAAGTGGTTCTGGCCCCTATTTCTTATGCCAGTTCTACAGTGTAACTATATACTAGACTCCAATATAAAACTTTTGCACGTGGTTCAGTTTTTAAACCATGAATGTAGTTTAAGTCCTTTCAAGGTGATCTCAGAGATGTTTAAGATATTTGTGCATCTCCAACCCTGAGAACACAAGTTTCAGGGTAAGTATAATCACAATACAGGGTTTGTCCTCTTGCATCCCTTTTCCTTTCTGAGCCTGTGAAGTCAGTGAAATAAGTCCTCATGTTACCCTTCCTAGAGGTATCAGGAATGTAAGGGATCTAGACTGCTTTTGGTTGAGAAAATTGTGAGCAGCTTGAACATGGCTCTGGGCTGGGAAGCCTCGGGTGTGTTTCTTGCAGGTTCATCAAACAGGAGGGTTATAGGGACTTGAAATAAAATGTATTTAGGCTCATTCTGGTGTCATTAGCTGTTCCCTCCTTATTTTATGCAGGTGAATCCTTTGCAGGTCTTTACATTCATTTTGACCAGTAGGCAATGGTGCACCTCAAAGGCTCTTGACCCATGAAGGTTGAGAAAAATGCTGAATTGTTTTCTTAGAAACACTGAGATCAAAGTAGATGGAAGGATAAAGTACATTAGGCTGGTCAGCTTTTCCAAGGAAACGCTTTGGGTTTTTGTTCATTACACATTCATACAGGGAAAGAGGCTGTCTAGATGTCTTCTGTCACCCTTCCAGTGGTGACCTTCCATAGGAAGCAGCTAAGACCCAGATGGCTTCCAATCCAATTATCAGCTGTGACTCTGGGTTAATGACTTCATTTGCTGGGCCTCAATTTCCCCATCCAACTAAGGGATGTAATAATGGCACATAGCTTTCAGCATTGGAGTGAGGATGAAGGTAAGTAATAGGCATGAGAAAGTACTAAATGATCATTTACAATGTGTATTTGTGAGCTGCTCAGAGCATATGGACGCTGTTCACTCCTTTTCAAGGTGCTGGCCCTGCTCACTCTGTGTTGTGTGGTTTGTGTAGGAGTAAAGATGGAGGTTTTTGTTCAGCCTGGTCCCACAGCCACTTTGCCCCTAATAAACACATGGATGCTATATTAATTATAAAACTGTTGGCCGATGGCTAGGACTTCTTATTGGCTCTCTCTCTCTTAATTATTAACCCATAACTACTAATCTAAGTATTTCTACATGGCCTTATCTTACCAGAGACTGTCTGAAGTGTCCTATCTTCCCCATCTCTATATGGTGTCTCTCCATGGTGGCCTCTCTCCACCTCCTCTTCGCATTCTCCTAGTCTCCTAGTCCTACCTATCTTCCTGCTTCTATTGACCAATTAATGTTTTATTCACCAACCAATAAGAGAAACATATATACAGAAGATATACAGAAGGGCATTGCCCATCATAGGAGTGTCCCTGAAATTGAGGGGCCTTGGGGAGTGACCTCTGGGTTATCCACCAAAGGCTTTTTGTGAGTGGGACAAGGGAGCCCATACCTGGGTGTCTCTGGAGGGTGATGTCCCTCTCAACCATACCCAATGTATAAACTTCTTTTTCATTAGCTTATCTAGGGGAACGCCTGATTCCAAGCAATTTCTACTCACAGCTACCATCCTTTGGAAGTAGGTTCATTGCCCTAGCTTGAAGCTATAAAACAGGAACAGTATTTATTAATCCATTGATTAACCAATCTGTCAACAAACATTTATGTGTTGTTTCCTATGTGCTTAGCACTGTGCTAACTGCTCCCTCGAGCAATTAAAGAAATAAAAGACAATGTTTTGAACTTCAAGTTAGGGTTCCCTGATGACTAACTGGCAAACAATAGCTAGATTTAGATGCAGGCATCAAAGTCTTCCAAGTGCAGTTTCAGTAGCTTCCAATGACATATCCCTAGCAAAGAAGTACATCACAATCCCCATATTATTTTCGACATGGAAGGGGATAAGGGATTACCTGTGCCTATTTGGAAGGACTGCAAAGAAAGGGAATATTGTGGTTTTCAAATGTGAGAAAGATGGGCAATAGTCTTAGGGAGATCACCTAGCTGATGCCTAAGTCTATATTCGTCTACATAAAAGATATAAGAAGAATTAGGCATGGTACTAAGAAAATGAAATCTGAAGGATAAATTCAAGAGTCAGCAAAGTAGCTAGCTGGGTGGGGGTTGTACACACCTTTAATCCCAGCACTAGGGAGATCTCTGAGTTTGTGGCCAGCCTAGTCTTCTAGCACAGCCAAAGCAGCACAGAGAAATCCTGTCTTGAAGCAAGCAAACAAACCAACAACCATGCCCAACAAAGAGTCAGCAATGGAGCATCTATGTGGGCACAGATAGAATATGAGGTGGCAGTAAGCTGGATGTTCTGGTCAGTATAGGGCTCAGAGGAGCAGGAAGGAGTTGAGAGAATTCTATGGCATACAGTAACATATCAAACTACACCTTCCACAAAGGCAAGAGAGTGTCAAGGATGCACTGGTGGCTTTGTGATTTTGGCATGTTTCGAAGCACCTGTGACTTTCAGTTTCCCTACTTGTTAGATGAGAAATGTCCCTGTTCTCTATCATTATTATAAAGCTTATGGGACACAGTACACATGAAGAAGGTGGTGGACATTTAGCCTATGTGAGTGCTCCATCAACATTGCTATGCATCAACTGAGTACCGATTAAGGGTATACACTGTGATAGATGTCAGTGTTGAAAGAGGAAATAAGTACATTTTCTGTCTTCCTCAAGACATCACAGATAGACGTTGTCTCCTTTGCAGTGATAATTGTGCCCAGTATCTCCTGTCAGCCTTCTTCAGATGAGCTAAAACAGTGTTCTTCCTCACTGAGCCAAGAAAGAATAGTAGAGTCATTTTAGCCCTGTTTCCTTTTAAACTTTATCTGTCCCTCACTATGAGGGAGATAAAGTTACAATTAAGTAATAGACTAGATAGCTTTCAGACCCATCTATAGCCCTGGTTAGCATGTCATCAGCTCTATCCACACTTCAAAGACATTATTTTTCCCCTTCTCTCCTTCATGACCTAACCAAGGCCATAGCCCCAGAAAACACAGGCAGCTGTCTACAACACATAGGCCTCAAGTATACCAAAGCATCCCCCTATATCCCCTTGATTTTTAAACATGTGGATGCAGTTTTAGGATGCGTATTATGTTTGGAATTTGTCTGCATCATCTGAATTTGCTCCATTATGGGATGAAAGTTCTCAGAGCATCCTGACATCACCATTCTATGCTTTATTTTCTCACATGCCCACAACAGACTCCTCTAGTGCACTGGTAGCTAACATGTTCTGAGTTTAAACAGGGGAGGATGCATAGCTCAACTGTTTCCCCATGAATACCATCTTGCCCTTGAATGTGGGGCCTCCAGACCTAGAGACAGGAAGGTGGCAGGACTGTCGGGACCTCCCTAGGTTTCGTGACCAGGTAGAGACAGAAAAGGGTTCCCTGCAGAGGTAATTTTCTGAGTCATGAAAGGTTACTGAAGGAGGTGAAGTCCTTTGGTTTTGCAAGGATGGAGAAGCAGACAAGGAATGAGCTTAAGCTCTGTAACAGATTCACAAGCCCTGGGGGAAGAATTCTCGAGGTGAAAGGGGCTTGTAAAGTAGTGGATGAAATATCTGTGTGTTTAATTAAAATTCTTAATTTGAGAATGCAAAGAGTTTTTGCAGAGTCAGACATGCTGGCTTTATTTTGTGCAGGGCCTGATATCTGGGCCTTTGTACTCAATTGTTTTCTTTCCTGATGTTTTTTCAAATGGGATTATGCTATTCATGTAAACTTATGTCTTTCCCATGTGATGGCTCTGTTAACTGGCTACATTTTAACTGAGGGTGCCTTTTGGATGAACCCAGATCCTCAACATCTGTGAAGCTTGATGGTGTTCAGAGACCACATAAGTTCACAAATGTGGAAACCTTCACACATAGTCCTGGTTCGCTCCCAAACCACACCCTTATTCATGCATTGCTTTACAGCACAAGCTAACCTGCATATCCACTGTAACCAGTTCAGTCTATCACATCATGAGTCTTCTTTCCCCTGCATAGAAATCAGTTTTGACTAAAACAAGAATAATAATGAAATTCACTTGTGAAAGGCCATTGATGAATGGAGAGTCACACAGCAAGAGAAGGGACAGGGAGTCATTGTCCCACTCCACCACTAAGAGCACAACAAATCCAGGCCTTCATACACAACAGAAGAACCTCCGTGAATGGGCCTTCATGATCGCTCACAAATATTCTAAATGGAGAATTAAAGTCTAGAGGTACAATGGGATCCTTTCCATACTTCATTCTTAGAACGTTCAGGTCCCAGATCCGTACATGACATGACAGTACCCTTCAATGGACCTCACAGAAGGAGGAGGAGCAGCAGGAGGAGTAGGAGAAGGAGGATAAGGAGGAGGAGGAGGAGCAGGAGGAGGAGCAGGAGCAGCATAGATTCCATGAAAGCGACTCCTCCCTGAAGTCCTCTTCTACTCTCTACATCCAGGAAGGAATAAAGGATGCTTCTGCTAGACAGGGGGCCTTTCAGTGAACCACAGGGAGCTGGGCCATACATAGCTACTGATCAGGATGCTAGGTGGGGAATCATGTACTATTTATTCTATTTACGTGGTGTCCATTTACAGTTTTCATAATAAAATATTAAGTAGTAGGAAGCATTTGGCACCACAGATGTCAAGCTAACATATTATCTAAGAAAGGCTGTATTCCACTTGACCAAGTTTTAAGGTAAATAGATACAACTTTATTCTGGAATTCTTTGAAAATGGATTGCCTAGGCCGTGGAGCACCTGCTAATGCTCAGAATCAGTTTCTAATCACTGCAGACTTTGTATTCATGCTAAATACTATTATTGATGCATTCAAGACAGGCTGTGGAGAAGAGGGAGACAAAGACAGATTCACATACCTTCACTACAGTTCTTTAGGGCAAAGAAGTCCACTGCAGACAAGCTTCGGTTTCCACTGGAGATGTATTCCAGGGCCACTCGAAATGGGTTCTCTGGACGTCCGATTCTTCCATGCAGCACGGTCCAGCTGGATGCAGTGGGAGGCAGAGGAGGAAAGTATAGGAAAACAATGATGAGAAGCCAGTCTAATATGCAGAGATTAGGTATCACACTCTTCATGGGTACCAAGAGATGGGACCCTAAATAATAGTGAGGACAGACCCCGAGAGCCACATCTGTATCATCCCTGTCCAGTGAACTCAGAAATCCCACTCTCAAACTCACTGTGGACAGTGGTAATTCTAGACAATTGCAAATATTTACAGTAGTGTTATAGCTAGTCACATAGAGCAAGGACATTCATCAATGAGATAACCCAGCAGCAGAGTCAAGGAATGGCCTCCAAAAGCTTACCAGCATATTCATAATTACCTCTTTGAAATAACAGTTGGTTTTGGCATGCTCAAGGTCTTATCATCCCCAGATTCCCTGTGTAGTTACTTATGGGGCACTAGTGAGAACTATTTATTTACAGCTGCAAATTTAAAGTGCACCGAAGCATGTACTTTGGGGTAAAAGGTATTGAAGATTGACACAGACTTGGAGAAACACTGCAAACAGAAGAAGATGAAAACATGATAGTTGGTGAGCTCTGTGATCTCAGATGCTGACACAGCCAGAGAGCAGAGGATTAGCTAAAGGGGCATTCTTACGCTGTGCTCATGCTATTAACCTCTTGGGATAGCCTCCTGTCAAATATTAGAACATCCAATTTCCTTTTCAACAGTGACTCAGATATATATCACAATACACACATGCACGTACACACACACACACACACACACACACACACGACAGATAGGGAGTGAGGGAAGGAGAGAGCTTATATTAATTTATAATTGCATATTTAAATAATATTCTGTGAAAAATAGAAATTATCTGGATTACTTTTCTTTCTTTAAAAACAATTTTATTGAGGTATAATTGGCACATTATAAATTGCTTGCACTGAAGGTACATAAAAATAATTTGATTTTTTCTTTTTTATTATTTAATATTTTTTCTTATTTTACATATCAATCCCAGTTCCCTCTCCCTCCCATCCTCCCATGTCCCTTACTGACCCCCCCATCCTATCCTCCACCCAGGGAGGGTGAGGCCTTCCATGAAGGAACATTAAAATCTGTCAAGTCATTAGGGGTAGGTCCTAGGCCTTCTCTAGGCTAAGGGAATATCACTCCATGGGGAATGTGCTCCCAAAGTACATTTGTCCATTAGGGATACATGCTGGTTCCACTGTCAGGTCCCTTAGACCGCCTAGTCCTCCTATCTGAGACCAACATTCAGGGGTTCTGGGTCGGTCCTATGCTGGTTTCCTAGCTATCAATCTGGGGTCCATGAGCTACCCCTTGTTCAGATTAGCTGTTTCTGTGGGTTTATCCAGCCTGATCTTGACCCCTTTGCTCATTACTTCTTCTTCTCTGAAAATGGATTCCAGGAGTTCAGCTCAGTGTTTAGCTCTGGGTGTCTGCTTCTGCTCCCATCAGCTACTAGATGAAGGCTCTAGTATGGCATATAAGGTAGTCATCAATCTCATTATCAGGGAAGGGCACTTAAGGTAGCCTCTCCACTATTGCTTAGATTGCTAGGTGGGGTCATCCGTGTAGGTTTCTGGATATTTCCCCAGTGCCAGATTTCTCTTCAAACCAGTAATGGCTCCCTATATCTATAAGGTATCTCTTTTCTTGCTCTCCCCTATTCTTTCCATAACTCAATCTTCCTGTTCCCTTATGTTCTCCTCCCCCTCTTCTCCCCTTCTCTTTCTCCTAACTCCCTCCCTTCAATTTTCTCAGGAGATCTTGTCCATTTCCTTTTCTGTGAGGGACCATGTATGTCTCTCTTAGGGTCCTTCTTGTTTCCTAGCTTCTCTGGCTGTGGGGATTGTAGGCTGGTGATCCTTTGCTCTATGTTAAAATCCATATATGAGTGAGTACATACCATGCTCCTCTTTTTGTGACTGGATTACCTCACTCAGGATGGTTTCGTCTAGTTCCATCCATTTACCTTTGAATTTCAAGATTCCCATTTTCCTGAGAAACTGCCATACTGATTTCCAAAGTGGCTGTACAAGTTTGCACTCCCACCAGCAGTGGAGAAATGTTCCCCTTTCTCCACATCCTCTCCAGCATAAACTGTCCTTGGTGTTTTTGATTTTAGCTATTCTGACAGGAGCAAGATGGTATCTCAGAGTTGTTTTGATTTGCATTTCCCTGATGTCTAAGGATGTTGAGCATTTTCTTAAGTAGCTTTCAGCCAGTTGAGATTCCTCTATTGAGAATTCTCTATTTAGTTCTGTACCCCACTTTTTATTTGGATTATTTGGTGTTTTGGTAACTAACTTCTTGAGTTCTTTGTATATTTTGGAGATCAGCCCTCTTTTCTATTCTATGGGCTGCTGTTTTGTCTTGTTGACTGTGTCCTTTGCCTTACAGAAGCTTCTCCATTTCAGGAAGTTTCATTTATTAATTGTCAATGAGTACAGACCATGCTTGTCTTTCTGTGACTGGGTTATGTGAGTTCTTATCTAAAGTTAGGCCCTTGTGCTTGCTTGGAAGGCATTTTGCCATCTGAGCCACTCCCCCAGGCCTGTCTTGGTTTACTTTTGGTGATAACCGTATTGCTTAAGGCCACATTGACCCTTGTCAAAGTGTCACCCAAGTGGCAGTTTTCTGTCTGGAACTCTTGCTAGGCAGGGTTGTGGGACATGAAGTGGAAGTCTGTTGAACAAAGAAGTGGGGACTGCTGTTCAGTCTCTATGCTTTTCTGTAGTTAATTCAGATCACTGGAGGCAAGTCTTCTGCCATTGAATAAAAGCGTGTTAAGTTTCCCCACTATGGATGCTGTAGAAGGGATTATTGCTGCTGTAAAGCTTGTTCTTTCTTACGGTACCCAGCAGGGTTTCCCAAATAAAACCGGTGCAATTGAATAAGGAAAAGGAAGCTTTTCAGTTTAAATGTGGAACTGTCAAAGAAAGAAATATCTGAAAGGAAATGTAACGAGGGGTTCTTAAGGAAAAGAAAAACAAATAAGCAAAGAATGCAAAATTTGTCATATTTTTCTGAAGCATAAAGGGCTCTAGTTTTGAGGAAAGATGATCTTGAAAGGTGTGAGTATTCTTTCCATATCTCAGCTCTGCGCTCTGAGGAATGATGGATTTTAATTTCAGGTACACAGTGGCCCTTGATAATGATTTCCATTTCTGGATTGGTGCTCGCCCTCGGGATAAATGTATCAGGACTTTTAGGGATTAGTTTCTGAGTTACTGATGCAATAACTTTTGCTTGAAATTCTCTGGCCTTTCATAGTTTACTGCTGCAACTTTAATAACTTTCAGAGCAGTTGCCAAACATGTATTTTATATCCAGGGAAGCTGGGACTAGGAAAGGGCAAGCTCATACCTAGGGTCAGATTTGTTTAAGAGACAGCCCAAAAGCCCAGTGAAAACCAGATCTTAGCTCTCTTGTCTCCCTGCTTCCATCTTCTTTCTTACCTCCCAGTGGTCACAAAACTGCCTCATTAGGGCTCTATTTCCATGTTTTGATTGCTCGCAACTCAATTATGCTGAAAGAGAAAGGTTTTTATTCTGATCTAGAACCTTCTGGAAGCAGATGTGCAACTGTATCCATGTGCTGGGGATTGGTGACATTCTAGGACGGTGCTGCAATCAATCAATCTGACAGTGTGGGCATCCACCCAGACTTTAGAAAGCCAGAAGGATTGAACGGACAGCCTGTCATAATCCATTACTTTCCACGTCTCTCTGGAACTCTCCGATTCCCCATTCTGCCTCTGCCTCTCATTTGTCTGATGACTTTGAATGAGACACTTTTCTGAAAATGTCTAAAATGTTGTATGTTTTCAACCAATTTTATTCTCAAGCAGAGAAAATGTCTCCAATTTGCATGACTTTTTTTTTTTTTTTGAGGAAAACCCTGACCACCCACTTTTGCTTAGTGATTGCAACATGATGAATAAATTAGAGACTATCAAAGACCATCTAAATCAACCAAACAAATAAACAAACAAAAAAGACAAGAGGTTTGTGACTACCAAGGTCTACTTCTAACCCGGGGGACAGAAGTCTTGGATTCCGGTTTTGGCTTGCTTAGACTTGGACAGTTTTCCACACCTCCTTGGATGTAAGCTTCTTCATCAGTAATATGTAGCCATTGAGGTGAAAGTTCTCTATGGGCCTTAATTGAGTATGGCTTACACACCTCTAGCATTTTACAGGATGCCTGGTGATACAACATTTTATGAAAACCCTGGAAGCTGCAACTAACAGAGCTAGTTTGGAGAAGAGTGATCTATCTTCAGTCACAGATCTCTTTACACAAGAGGCTCTGTCTTGCTCTTGCAGAGAAACAGAGACATGCTCAAGGTCATACATTGAGTTAGCCACAAATAAAGCCCAGTACTGCTCCTGGGTACTGAGGATCAGGGACAACACGGCCTATGGATCGATCTGCCAAGACTATTGCATTTTCATCACTAACAACCACAGAGACAGAGAAGGGTATATGTATTTGGCACTGCTACAGGGACCACCAGCATGGCTTTTTAAGACTAGACACTGGACAGGCAGTGGGAGGAGAAATCCATAGAAAAATACTAAGAAGGTGTGATACAGAAATGAAAGGAATTTCTCAACCAGGGTAGTGCCCACATACTTAAAGGAAACAGACTGGCAACATTTGCTGTAAGGCAACCTGCTGGTGAGACTGAGGGTTGGTAGCCATAGGTCAAGCACATGAAGGCATCAACTTATATTAAGCCTTGAATGCAGGGACATTTTTATGTCAGCACATGAAGGCCACAGGTGGTGTTGACAAGACAGAATGTGTCTTTCTTTGTGTTTATGCAGCGTCTTGGAGTACATACTACTATCAGACAGTCTTGTAAGAGGGAGCTCTCAAATCCTCAAATAAAACCATTCATAGGGAATCCTGTTCTGAGATGGTTTTGACTGTTGCAATGTGGGGAGTGGGACCCAGACTCAGTTCTCAGTTTCACAGCCTATTAGCTATG